ACCAGCCCAGGCTGCAGCATCTGAAGGCAAAGGCTAAGATAGATGAGGGCCTATGCCCAAGCTGGGTCAGAGCAACCACTAGCACGTGTGAGATCTATGGCTGAGAACAGTCCTGGTTGGGGAGCTAAGGGGATGCCTTGGCTGGGTTATGGTTCCCACTAATGAGTGCAGGGGCTGGAGTGGAGACTGCTGTCTGCTCTGAAAATGGCTGCAGTGTCCCTCGGCATGGGTGGGACTGGGTCTGGGGCGTGCCAGACTGGACTGGACACCATCACTCACTGGTGATTGTGAAAACCAGAGTGGGTGTAGGACAAGCTAGGCTAGGTCTCTGCCCCTGCTGAGGCATGTGTGAGCTGTGTCTGAGTGTGGACTAGGCTTGGCTGGGTTGTAGTACCCAACAGTAAGGACCAGAATGGTGAGGGCCAGTCAGGAAAGGCTACTGTTTCTGCTAGGACAGAAGGTGGACTAAGTAGGGCTGGCCCATGGACCTACCAGTATGCACAAGATCTGGCATTTGGAGAGGTTCTGATGAAGGAGCCTAGGCAACTCCTCTGGCAGGACACAGTCCCTGCAGGTGAGCCAAGAACCAAGAAAGGGAGCAGCCCAGACCAAGATAGGTTATGGTACCCACAGGCTCGCTCAGGTCTAGGGCAAGACAGGCTGGGCCAGTTCATAGCACCCTTTGGTAAATCCAAGAACCAGAATAGTGTGTGGGTCATGCCAGGTCAGGCTGTAACACCAGCCAGTTCACATTAGGGCAAGGACTGGGGGCTGGCTGGGCTGTTTAGGCTGTAGTCCCCATCAGAGTGAGCTGGAACTGGGAGTGGGTCAGGTTGGGCCAGGCTACAGCACCCACTGGCAAATGTTGAGGTGAGGTGAGCCATGGTAGACTGGGCCATAGCACCCAACCAGCACATATGAAACCGAAGGAAAACAGGTGAACCCAGTAGGGGGGCTGCATGGGGCTCCCTTTGCTGGGCCACTAGTCCCACTGGTGAGTGTGAGAGCTGGAATTGGGGGCAGACCAGGCCGGGCATGGCTACAACACCTGTTGGCCTGCATGTAAGCTGGATTATGGGAAAGCCAGGCTGGGTGGACTATAGCTACTGGTACATGCACAAGCTAGAGTGGGTGCGGGTTGGTTGGGCTTTGCTGCAGCTTCAGCTAGCAGATGCTGGCACAGGGGGCAAACTCTGTCAAGCTAAACTGTAGAACCACCTGGAGAGTGTAAGATCCAGGAGAGTGGGAGTGAGCCCATTAGGGAAATAGGGGAGACAGACCTCTCTGATGGGCTGCAACTTCCACTAATGAACATGGAAACCAGGATAGGCATGGCTAGTGGCACCCACCAGCACCAGCATGGACTGGATAATGGGGTTAGTTGAGTTGAACTCAGCTTCAATGCCCACTGACATGTACAAGAGCAGAATGAGATGGGACAGACTGGACCAGTCTGCTGTTCATGCTGGCAAGCACAGGAACCAGGTGTGTGTAGGCTGATTTGGGGAGACAGATTGTGCCAGACCCTGTGTTGGCATGCACACACAAGAATCAGGTCTGGGATCACCTCAAATGAAGTTTGTTTGGGAATCTCCCCAACTGAACCACTGGACTCAGAATTCCAACCATGGAGAGAATTGCAGGTTCCATGGTCTGACTGGAGTGCATGTGTCAGAGCTGGGCCTCCTCAGTGGCTTAGATGGAGCAGTGGGCAGCACATCCAGATGCACATGGAGGATACGGCAGTACACTGGAGCCTGCAGAGGACACCTGGTACCATAGAAAAGGACAGAACAAATCAATCAAGCACCCCAGCCAAGAGTTAGCAGTGAATACCTAGACAAATGGAGACTCTAAGGTGGACTATGTCAGCCAGTAGAGTCTGGAGAGATTTCATTGTAATTGGAGTGGCAAGATCAGCAGTAATACAGAACTGCTGAACTATCAAAACCACTTGAGCAGTGAGTGCCCTTGGAGCAAGCACCACATTGGGGACCCTGGGATGGCTGGGAGGCTGGGTGCGGCTTCTTCCCTTATCTGTCCCCTCCCCACAGATACAGGAAGGAAAAAAGGGAATGTGAAAACAATGGTCTCACTCACTTTCCTCCAGCCCTTGACCCTTCGCACCCTAATCAAATACATAAAAATTATCAAAAATAAAAACAAAGATCCTCACACCTGCAATGTAATAAAGGGTAGATTAAGCCCATTACAAAACCCGACAGTGGAGACCCTGACCTGGTCAGGCCCGTGCTGGCTGGTTGCAGATGGACACCCCTCCCCTCTGTCCCCAGCAGGGATGCAGCATGTGTGGGTCTCCCGTGGGGAAGCTTGCAGAATGAGGTGCTACATCGCACGTGCCTGATGCTGTTGCATCTACAACACAGCGCCCTCAGCCTTAGCAGAGGTGGGGCCCACTGAAGCAGGTGGCAGCCCCTGGCTGGCTGGTGCTCACATAAGCTCCTGGCAGAACAGATTAGAGTGGCAAGGCAGCTTAACTCACAGGGCATGGTCACACCTTGGCTCCCTCCACCACAGAGCCCCAGGGCCCTCAAGCCACCAACCTTTGCGGGCCACCAACCTCTTAAAAGTCCCCAGAAGCAGGAAGCCTGCCTGCCCCGCTAGCCAAGTGCTGAACTTCGGAGAGCGGTGGGATGACTGGAACTCCCTGGCCCCCTGGGACAGGAGAAGGTGGGGTGGGGAAGGGGTGTGCAGAGAAGCCCCAGATGCTTGCAGATGGCAGAGGAAAAAGGCAAGGCCTGAGTTTCACCAGGGAGCATTCCGAGCTGTGGGTGGGGGGTGCTGAAGGCACATGCCTGCCTTCTGAGAAAGGGGCTTACACATCCACTCTTGGACCATTTGTAAAGCAGGCTGTGGCAAGAGACGGGGCAGGAAGGTGGCGGAGACCTTGCTGGCAGGCCCTGGGGAAGGGTGCTGAGGGTGGGGAAGGCAGACTCCTGCCGCTGAGCCCTTGCTCCTGCTTCTGCATCCCCAAGACTTGTCTCAGAAGGGTGCAGACACTGGCCCCTTCCCCACCAGCAGGGTCTCCGGAGTTGTGGTCCACCACAGGTGTGGGATGGCCATGAGACAGAGCTGTTGCCACACCTCCCTGCCTCTCACACTATTCTACTGAGTCCTCCAAGGGCCAGAGCCAGCTCCTGTCCTGCGGGAGAGGCCTGGAAGGCCCTGCACCTCCCATCCCTGGGGCACTCAGACTGCAGCTGAGCACACAACCCAGGGGAGCCCTGTGGCTGGAGGACTGCCCCCTGCCCCAACCATGCAGGGTGGGCTGCTCCTCTTTCTCAACCATGGGCTGAGTGAGTCTTGATTTTTAAATGCTATGAACAGGGTTGGCATGGTGTGGAATTATAGGCCATTGTATTTTAAAATTCCTGGCATACGCTCCTGGAAGTACAGATTACATAGCAGTGAGGAAGCCTAACCCACAGGCCATGGTCTCCACAGCTGTTCCTCCCCTGAGAATCCAACCAGTCACCCACTGAGTCCCACAGCCACTGGATGGGCTGAGACCTTTGGCCCTAGCTTTTGGCCTCTCCCCTTCTTTCCACCTCCCCGCCCCCCCCCCATCCCTCTGGCACTTAAATTCAGAAAACTCAGTTTAAACTTGTTTCATTGATTTGCTACTTCCCACAGTGACCAGAGACCCAGATCTGAGCTCTAGGGACTTTGAAAACACGCTCACACGGTGCATCAAGGGAGAGACCCACACGAGCCTGTGGCAGGTGTAGAATAGGGTGGGTGGCAGAGAGGAGAGGGCTGAGGGCTTAGGTGCTACAGGGGAGTGCTGAGTCCTTGCTATGGTCAAGATGAGAGCACAGAGTGACCATATGACTGGGAGGACAGCAGGATCTGGAGTTAGGGAGCGGGCTCAGGGACCCCAGAGCACCACTGGCCACGTGTCCACCTGAGGGCCAGTGTGAATGAGGAGGCAGAGGCTGCGTTAATCGATGCCTCACGCAGCATTCCCAATCCGTACTGGCCGTTCCGAAGCTGCTCGCATTTGCTTTTTCAACATCGAGATGAGGTGGAAGTTGGACAGGGTGCTCTTTCCCAACAGAGAACTGAAGCGGTTCCCCCTCCCTCCAGGACGTGGCCACAGGCTGAATCTGGTCCCTGGTGCGAGTGGGCAAGCATAATGCCATCAGGCCACTTACACCTTCCAGGTTCCATCCATAGAACCCTTCCTCCCTCCCCAGCCCCAGCAATCTCTGCAAAGGTGTCCCTTCTCTGGACTCCAGGATTCTATGGTAACTGTGTAACATCTCTAATGATGACCATATTCTGGGCCCAGCGGTGTGGCCTAGCGGCTAAAGTCCTCGTCTTGAATGCACCGGGATCCCATATGGGCGCCGGTTCTAATCCCAGCAGTGCCACTTCCCATCCAGCTCCCTGCTTGTGGCCTGGAAAAGCAGTTGAGGATGGTTCAAAGGCTTGGGACCCTGCACCCACGTGGGAGACCCGGAAGAGGTTCCTGGTCCCGGATTTGGATTGGCGCAGCACTGGCTGTTGCACTCACTTGGGGAGTGAATCATCAGATGGAAGATCTTCCTCTCTGTCTCTCCTCCTCTCTGTATATCTGACTTTGTGATAAAAAAAAAATAATAAATCTTAAAAAAAAAAAAAGACCATATTCCAAGACCCCACGACACCTGTGCAGAGAGCATTATGTGAGGTGCATATGCTGGACAGGAGGGCTGTGGCGGGGCAGGGCAGGTCTGTGCTGGGTTATAGGCCGCAGAGTCACCAAGCTCAGGAGGAACTAAGAGCAGTTCACCCGAGGTCAGAGGAGGAGGAGGAGGAGGAAGGCATGGGGCAACCAGCCCTTCCTGCTCCCACACAGTGGGCCACAGGACAACCCACTACCATCCCCGCTGTAAGGGAAGCTTCCCGAGTTTTGCCTATTATTCCCCATGTGTGCTGAGGGCTTCGGCTACAACAGTGCGTGAGGAATAATGAGACAAAATGGCTCTTTCAAAGTACCATAGAAAAATAGTGTTCACTGGTTTATTTGTCCCAATGAGCAACTGGCTATGTACAAATAAGTGGATCTCCAATGGTGTGTATTAAAAAGAAAAAAACAACAACAACAAAAACAAACATGGCGAGCCTGTCACTTTTTGGAACCTACGTGAAAAACAAAAATTTATTAAGGCACATTTGATCTGTGAATTTTCAAACAAACTTCCTGGTGTGTGATGACGGATAATGTTTCACTTTTGTCCCCAGAACACGTGAGCACCAAAATTCTCCAAGAACACTTGATATTGAGTAGGACAATGAGGAATGTCAAAATCAGGGAGGGGAGGAAGTGAGCCGGAAAAGAAACTCTTTGGGGATGGGTTTTCCGCCAACAGGACGTGCTACCTGCCTCCTGGCACACATAAATACTACCAACAGCACTCAGCCATGGCAGAGCGCGAGCCAACGGAGAGTAAATAAATTAAATGCATTGGAAATACAGAGGATAAAACAAAACAGCTACCAGAGAGAGAAGCAGCCATCTCCAGCAAGGGCACGGACAGCATGACAGGAACAAAACCAGACATTCCCCCCAACATTTCCATCAGGGTTTTTTTTTTTCTTTTTAGCTTATGTAAGTTAGGTTTATTACAATAATTCTTCTTTGTCATTCTAAATATTAATATTTTAACCCTTTAGAGAGAAGGGTCAGGAAGAGGAAAAACAAAATTGTCGACTCCTTCTCAAAACGCGTGGCCAGAGGGATGCCAGCCGGGACGGCCGCTGGCCTGGTGCAGTGCCTTCCTCGCGCCCTTCACGTTAACCTGCCACGAGCCCACACCAAGCACAGTCCAGCTGGGGGCACAGCCACAGCCCCATTTCCTTTTACGGCTGGAACACAAGATGGCTTTCAAAGACAAAGATCAAAACAGGAAAAAGAGAAGACAAGAAAGGTGGAATCTGTGCGATGTTAGAATCACAACACAGCACTGACGGGCGCCAGTGCTGCGTCATGGTAATACTCTGTGGGAGGCTGGAAAGGAAATGTCAAAACAGAACAAAACAACAACAACAACAGAAAAACCCAAACCACCCAGCTTTGTTGGTCAGACACATTTCAAGTCAGAATCAAGCAGTTCGGCTACGGAGCACTGAGCGAGAAGAACGCGTTCAAGGCAAACACTGATCACGCTGTTTTGTTCAAAAAGCTCAAAGGAGCCCTGTGTAAGAAAAACCACTGGTAAAATATATATCCTTGTGTGGACTGCAAAAACAGATCGTACAAAAACTCTTGAAAAATAAATTAGATAATTAAAAAGGTCTCTCCAGCAGCGCTGGGCATCAGGCTGTCCTCACGGAGCCGCTGGTATTGCTGCTTTTACTGTAGCCCGGGTCGTTCTTCTCCAGCCACATCTCTGCCAGCTGCTGGGTGGACCCATACGTGGACGCCTTGGACCCTAAGCACATCTTGTACTGCTTGGGGTCCAGATTGGGGTCACAGAAGACGGGGTGGTGGATGTGCACGACGCCGACCTCCTGGCTCCGGAATGTCTGCAGGCCCGCCTGCACCACCTTGTTGAAGAGGTCCACGTCCTCCAGCCCCCAGCCCTGGATGGAGACGTCGAAGCCGCCCACGCGCACCAGGTCCCCCTTGTAAATGCAGGTGATGCCAAACCCATAGTTCCTCCAGAAGCCAGTCTTCTGCGTGAAGGCAAAATGGTTGTCACTGGGAACCTTCCCGTTATAAACAATCTTTGGATCGTACTGGCTGAAGATGACCGGGAAGTATACCTGTTGGCCCAGAACTGTGTTGGCGCGACACCGCTGCAGGAAGTCCGCGGTGAACACCAGGTCCACGTCGCAGAAGAAGAGCAGGGACTCGTTGCTGAACTGGGAGGACCCCACCTCCAGGGCCAGCGCCCGGGAGAACTCGCCCGCCACGGGCAGGATCTGCATGTCGGCCTTCGGGTACTTGGCGCGGTAGTCGCGCATCAGCTCCACCTGCTTGGCCTTGTCGGGGTTGGAATCCGAGTTGAAGAGCAGCACGACCAGCTTCACGTTCTGATTGGGGATCAGACACGTCTTCTCAAAGTTGCCCATGAACCGCGCGAACATGTCGAAGCGGCCCGACAGCGGGATGAGGATGTTGATCTTGGTGTCTCTGGGTTCTCTGTGCTCCGTCTTCGACCCGGGCAGCTGGAAGGGCACGAGCTTCTTGAGGGAGTTGGACAGAAAGGACAGGGACCCAGACTCCTGGTTGATCTTGTTGGCCAGCTCCTTGGCATCCAGCTCCTCATGCTCCACAAACTGGACCCGGCTGAAGGTCTGCTGCAGGTAGGCGTGCCTCCTCACGGGCACCGTCATCTTCTTGCCTTTGTGCTTCTTGTACAGCAGCAACAGGTCCAGGATGTACTCGGCCCCGTACAGGGGGTTCACGCGCCGGTAGCCGTACTGGATCTCCTTGAAGTCGATGATGCGCCCACGGGTCTTGGCGTTGGCATTGATCATCTCCATCACCTGCATCACAATGTCGTCCAGGGCCTCCCGCTGCGCCGAGTCCATCCCTCGGCGTGGGGGCTGCCCGTCAGTGGCCGAGTACAGGTACTTGCCTGTCAGAAACTCCCACTCGAGAACCTCCTCGCGTTGGCGGGCCTGGAAGCGCATGAAGGAGGGCGGGATGCCCAGCTGCAGGTCCTCCTTGTGGGCCTCCGTGTTGCTGTACTTGCTCATGAGCACAATCTCCCGGTGCAGCTGGATCGTGCGGTGCCGCAGCTCGGCTATTTTGCGGCTCAGCATGTAGCTGTGCAGTCTGTACTGGTAGGGGGGATTCTTGTTGGGGTGCAGCGTGATGGCTCGGTGAATTTTACTGTTGTGGAGGTCTCTGATGTACCCCTTCTTGTTCTGCTCGTAATTCTCATAAAAAAGCTGCTGCATCTGTTGAGGGAAAAAAAAAAACACTGCTTCAGTCTCACAGCCTAAGAGCTCCTCTGGTTGGGCATTCCTGGGTAGCTCTGAAGGCTGACACCAAAATCTAAGAATGAGAAATGCACGTGGGCCACAGACCCCGGAGGGGCCCAGGGAAAGCCCAGGCAACAGTCCAGCAGAGGAAGACACATAATGACTGCCTGGAAGAAACAAGAATTCCCTGAGAGGCAGTGCTGGCCAAGGGGAGGTGCAGCCAACAGACGAGATAAAGAAGATTCCCACCAGGGAAGGGCTGAGCCATGCACAGCAAGCAGGAAAAGGTGCCCTGAGCTGAGGGCTGGAACAGCAAGCCTGCAGCTCCCTTTCCACAGCAGAGACCCCCTTCAGACAGCTCCAGGAGCATCCTGCACTGGAAGGAGGCTTATGAGACCCCCCTCCCAGACTGGCAAGCCCACCACATGCCTGCAGATGAAGGGGCAGTGCCTCTCACTTAGCCTGCTAGCTCAGCCTGGGTCCCCAGCACCCACATGGGCCTGGCACCTGGGGTGCTAAGCCAGAAGCACAAGGCTCCATATCCCAGGCACATGTCCCTTTGTGCTAGGACTCACGCAGGGACAGCAGCCAGCACAGGTGAGGGCGGACGGGGTCCGCACAGCTTGTCTCTGTGAAGAACCCTGCCTTGCAGAAATCATGTGGCAAGCCAGCACCCAACGAGGGTCGGACAGGGCCGGGTCACTTATGTGTATCACTGACAATTGCATGGGGCAGGGGTGTGCAATCTCACAACCAATTAGGAAAGCAATGCCAGTTTTGTTTTGTTAAGAGAATCAGAGCCCACCCAAAGGAGGAGGATAAAACCTAATCCTGACTTTCCCTGGCTCTGCCAGGAACCAAGGCACTGCAGGCCCTCCAAGTGGTGCAGCAACTGCACCTCCCCTACTCCCTGTGTAAACTCCAGGCCACAAACATGAAAAGGATTTTTAAAAAATTATAGAGTGTATTTTGAAAATCCTCAAACACAGCATATTTTGAGTAGTCCTCAAATTTAGAATTATCATAGGCATGTTAATAATGTATGATTTGGCTCATTAAATATAAGCGGAATGTGGAGGCAGGCATTTGGCCCAGCAGCTGAGGCACCTGCTGGCACGCCTGCGTCCTCGGGTCAGGCCCCAATGCAGGTTCCCATATAACACTCAATTCTGGTTTCTGCTTAGTCACCCATACGGGGACCCAGCCTTGGCCCCTGTAGGCTTTGGGAGACATGGGGCAGCAGATGGAGGAGCTTGCTCTACTTCTCTGCTAAATTTGAGACAATTTTAAAGCACTGTGGAAGAAAACACAGGTCAGCGTACACGAGTTATTTAATCATCACAGGCTACTTCTTGCTTTTAAAAGAAAAAACAACTACAAAACCTTGCCGAAATATTCTTTGCGGAACGCAGGCAGCAGCACTGACTTAATCAGCCTGTAATGGTGCTACTGCCAAGCGTCTCGGCAGCCTTGACTCTGGCAAAGCCATCGTGCTCACCAGGGGATGTCCCAGAACCCTGTGTCATTCCACAGCAAGTCTGAGAGCGACTGAAGCTGAGGAACTCCCAGGCCAGCTGGGAATCACCTCCAAGTTTAACAAGTCCCTTCCACGGTCCTCATCAGCCATGGACCCTGGGACGGGGGGCTTCTGGGCTGGGTCTCCCTGCTCCCCCCGTGGAACGCACAGTCCAGCGCACAGGCACTGACCAGTGCCCCGCTCAACAAGCTCTCATTCAGATCCACACGGTGTTCCACTCGCTGCAATTACTCTGTGTCCTCATTTCTTCCACTTGGAAAATTCCTTCAAAGAAAACCTGAGTGGGCTAACCACGCAGACGTCTTCACTGCCGGTTCCAAGAGCCAGTTGCCAGTTTCTGAGTATTTACAGTAACATATGGCCACTGGCAGAGTTCTCAGATAACGGCCCAAAGCAGGTTGAGACTGTTAACAATTAGCCCAGGAACACAGGCTCTGGGGACATATGGTTACCCTGCGTGACCCTGCTGGTCTCCCCTAATTAGTTCTGCATAGGACCTGCCAAATTTCATCTAATTAAGTGCAGAGATTAGGTACTTTGCATTTTAAAGACTCCATTCATGAAACTAAATGTTCCATGGGAATAAAGCTGAGACTCTAGAGTAAAAAATGGGAACTCATTCACATCAATGAGTGTAACGGTTGGTGTCCAATTCTGGAATCTAAACACCTGTTGGACAAGTCTGACCCATTTCAAAATAAATGGGGATTAAGCTTGGCAGAGTCGCGTAAACATGGCTGGCAGTCAGCAAAGGCTTCTGCACAAGGCGGTAAGGGATCCAGCAGGAACAACAGACTTTGCAAGGGAACAGTCGTAGTACGAGTGGAGAGAAGGAGAGCACCCCCCGCCCCCCAGCCCCTCACTGCCTTTCTTTTTAAGGGGTAAGAAGATAAGGAGGCAGCTGTGCTGGACAGGCGGCGCTATCTTTAAATGAACATGGTCCCTGACAAACACTGCGCTGCTGGGATTAGAACCGGCGCCCATATGGGATCCTGGTGCATTCAAGGCGAGGACTTTAGCCACTAGGCCACACCGCTGGGCCCAGAATATGGTCATCATTAGAGATGTTACACAGTTACCATAGAATCCTGGAGTCCAGAGAAGGGACACCTTTGCAGAGGTTGCTGGGGGTGGGGAGGGAGGAAGGGTTCTATGGACGAAACCAGGAAGGTGCAAGGACTACAAGCGGAGAGGGAGAAATGGGCAGCAGGGATGGGGGGGCTGCACCTCAGCCCCAGCCCAGGCAGCAGCGAGGGCGCAGACAGAGCTGTTCCTATCTGCTTTTACAAACCCCACTAGGTGCAGGTCTCCTCACAGCAACATGTCCTCAAGCAAGCTAGTATGGGCCACTGACCACTGTCACACTCTGAAATATGTGCAAAAAGTTTTTATGTGAAAGGCAGAGTTACAGAGAGTGGGAGATACAGAAAGAGAGACACAGAGGTCTTCTATCTGCTGCCTACTCTTCAAATGACCACCAACAGCTGAGGCTGGGCCAGGCCAAAGCAAGGAGCCTCTTCAAGGTCCTCCACATGGATATAGGGGCCCAAGCTCTTAGACCATCCTCTGCTACCTTCCCAGGCACATTAGCAAGGAGCCAGATCAAAAGTGGAGCAACTAGGATTCGAACTGGCGCCCATATGGGAGGCCACTACTGTTGGTGGTGGTTTAACGCCAACGCCACCAATGTCACATCTGACCCCTGCCCAAATCTCTAGATGATTAAACGATTCAGACTGTAGTAGGAAGGACTGCCTAAAAGTAAACCAGGACAAAAATATAACCAAAAACCAACTCTCAGCAGCAAGGTGGATACAGAAGAGGAAGGGGGGCGGGCGGCGGAGACACGTGGTAACAGGCCCGATGTGGTTATGGGGACAGGGCAGGAGAGGAAAGGGGCGAGAACCACCAGGCTTTCACATTCATTTCCTTCTCACTGTCGAATGTCATTTCGCATGTACAAAGATGCTACACGTCACTTGAACTTATGACTCATGTCAAGGGTTGTCCTCCCAAGCTGCCCCTGCCCAGGACTCAGGGAGCAGCTTGGCGGCTAGAGGCCCAACACACCAGGAAAATAAATATTAAATAGCACCAGATGAAACGCTCAGCCAAAATATACAGAGAACTACTAAAACTCAGTAGGAAAAAACAGTTGAAAAGAAGCCAAAAATCTCACCAGACATCTCAACAAAGAACTCGGAGATGGCAAATGAGGGTATGAAGGGAACATGACATTTGCAGCACACCTGTTAGAGGGGGTGAACGTGGAACACAGCCATCAGCACACACTGTGAACATGTGGGGCAGCTCGTGCTTGCATGAACCCAGAACACTCCCCGCACCCAAGCAGGCACTGTGGTGCAGTAAGCTAAGCTGCCAATCACCACACTGGCACATACACAGGAGTGCCAGGTGGAGGCCCGCTCAACTTCTGCTCCAGCTCCTTGCTTGGAAAGAAACAAAGGATGGTTCAAGTGTTTGAGTCCTTGCCACCCACGTGGGAGACCCAGGTGGGATCCCTGGCTCCTGACTTTGGCCTGGTCCAACCCCCCGCTGTTGTGGTCATTCAGGAAATAAACCAGTGGATGGGTGATCTCACTCCCTGTCAGTACTCTTCCAGTACTGGGGCCACGGCAAGTCCAGGGGAGTCGCCCAGAGGAGCTGAACACTCATTTCCCATTCAGTCTCCCAAGCAGCTCCTGCCCAAGAGAGAACTTCCTCTTTCCCAGCAACTCCTCAGGCGTCCTCCCCAAAACAGCTGCTATCTCAGGGTCCAATTACGAGCGAAAGAACACAGAGGAGCACGGCCCCCCGATGTCACGGAGCAGCACCACATCCGGAGAAGCACAACTAAGACGGTGCAGCCCACAGCCATCAGCCGGCACAGCAGCATACCCAACGCATGCTGACCCCGGCAGTCCCCAGAGCGACACCTCACTCACAAGCAGGTACCCACACAAACATGAACTACAAGTTGTGCTTTATTTCTTCCCAGAGGAGGTGGCATCCTCCAATTTGAGATTTTTTTTCCCTCTCAATCTATTTATAAAATTGACAGCAAGCTCATTAAAAGTTTCTTCTTTGCAAGTCAAATTAGGCTATGATAACCAGCAAGACACTTCAACATCTTTCCACCCCCAAATGCAAGGATGTTTGAAAAGCTTTACTTAGCACATCAGAGAAGGGAGAGGGGAGGAGGGGAAGAAGGAAAGGGAGTAGGAAAAGAGGGGAGGAAGACAGGAAGAGGAAGAGAGAGAGAGAGAGAGAGAGAGAGAGAGAGAGGGGCCTTCCCAGGAGCACTCCCAGGCAATGGATCTTAGTCTTAGCAGAGCAGCTAAGACTTCAAACCAGAGTTCAGACGTGGAAGGCCACTGCCACGGCAGGCTGAACTGGCTGCCTGTAACACAGACCCCAAATGCAAGTTTAATCTCAGCCG